GACGGGACGGGAAATTCGTGTGTCTCCTCTATACCGGCTTCTTCATTCGGCTCTCACCTCTATCTTTTCCATTTCTTTGCGGCACGAGTGTCACACACTATTCCCACAGTCATCTAGGATCCCTTGGTGCACACACACACTGACAGCACATAGCGCGCGGGTATATACATATATATATATATAAATATATATATATATAAATATATTATGTATGTATATATATATATGTATATATATATATATATCACGGGCTACTCGCGAGAACGCGGTGTGCGTGTATCGGAGCGATATAGGTTTGACGCGCTCGGACCAGCGACTCACGGTGCGGCGCACGCCGCTGTCCCATCAAGACTACTTTGTATTTACTCTAATTATGTGACGTCACGGATACACTGCTCGCCCCACCACGCCGAGCCGGCGGAGGCAGCCGAGCGTTGGCGAGCGCGGCCGAGATCGCCCGAGACGGCGGCGACGGCGCGCATGGCGTCCGCCGTCCAGTTCACCGACTAGTCACCTGTCGTTCCGCCTCGCGCTCTGCCGTGTCGTGCCGTGCTCTCTCGGCGCGCGCTAGCAGACTGGCGGAGTCTCTCGTCGTCCACCGTCCGGTCCGGCTCGCAGTCGTTTGTCGTCGACCAGCCACACGCGACCGCCGCGTAGCCGTCGCGTCGCATCGCGTCGCGTCGTCGCCCGTTTGCGTTGCTTCGGTTTTTGGCGTTTCTCGTAGTAGCGACCGAACACGCATCTGTCACGCCGCGCATCGACGAGTCGCGTGCGTGCGACTCCAACAACGATGTGCGATCGAAGCGATGTGCTCTCCCGGCGTTGATATATTCGGACGTGGCATGTATGTATGCGTACCTCTGTCTTCGAAAAACCGTTCGCGACGTGTGAATTGTGTTGCACCAAGTATTTTTGTCGAGAACATGGAGATAACCGGAGGAGGATGCTCGACGACTTTCCGCGACGTGGGAGCGTGAGTGAATTTCGTATCGTTTCTTCTTTACAGTGCGCATACGCGTTTCCAGCTGACATCGAATTTTACGAGCAATTTGTCGCGCAAGACGTTACGTCTGTCATATATACGAATTCGTGTGTTACTCTTGAAAGTTAATGTATGGTAATGCAACGGCGAAAACGATAGCTGTCAGTGCATGTGGTGGACTATATCTTTATAGGCGAAGGTTAGGTCTGATTTTCTATGAAATCCGCGCATATATGTAAGTGAAGCTGCGACATTAGAAATTGACATGTGAGATAATCGCACGTCAAATTCGTATCAGACAAATTCCGAAACATATACTCAAAAGTGGATTTAATCCACGCATCTCGCGTCTCGTTCTGAACTCGAGAAAGATATCGATACTTGCCAAAGGAAACACCGTATTGTGTGCCGGTTGTGTTGAACGCCACCTAATACGCGAGTTTTGCAAAATAAAGGGAGACACGTGTAGCAACGTGACAGTGCGCGAATGTTTCTTACCGCGTTCAACGCGAATCATTCGTCAATCGCGATAGGGAGCTTCGTATTTGAAAGTCAAATCTCTGCTTTCACAAGTAACATGTTGCATATGTAAATTTAAATCGTGATTAGCTTGTCTCCTGATTTTCACAACACCGGAGTGAGTCTCGATTCGATTCTTATCGCACGCGCGCACGCTTGCGTGCGTGCGTGTGCGTGCGTGCGTGCGTGCGTGCGTGCGTGCGTGCATGCGTGCGTGCATGCGTGCGTGTGTGTGTATGTGTCATCAAATCATTTAAAGCAATAATAAAGAGGAAACGTTTCGAGATTTCTATTTTTCGTAAAGTTAATTCAGGGAAGAGAAAAAAAATTTGTCCGAATTATAAATCAACATTGTTCTTGAGAAACGTTCCGTCTGATGATTTATTTAGAATTGTCAAAAAAAAGATAAAAAAAAGAATTAGTATCCTGCAGAAAATGTGTAGGGGGTCTATTGTTTACGAATGTTATGATGTGATTAAGCGATTTGAAACAATGTATAGCATTTGTCAGATGCATAATAATAAACGACACTACCATTAGAAAAATCATATTTGTTTGTCCCATTTATTATCCAAAGCTCTTTCATCCAGTTTCCAATCGTCCATTTCTCACAAAACTATCGATGCTCGCGACTGATTTCCTCTCGCTCCAGAGATAGACACAAAAAAAATAAGTAGACATTTTACGTCATCGAACATTAAGTCTCCTCTTCGTGAACGCTCTGTGTTAACAAGTATGTAGATTCGAGACATTTTATATCGGCAACGCAATTACTTTGCTCTTCGCAAACTTTCGCAGATATAAGGACTGAGGTTTAATCGTGGTTGTTCTAGATAAAGGTCTCTTTTTTTTGTTGCAATAAAGGCGCAACGTGCATGAAAAGGAAAGAGAGAGAGAGAGGAATGACATATGTATTTACAATACGTATTGAATGCCTCTTCAGGCGGATTTTAGGTTTAGGCCTAATTCGCGAGACACTGATTAACACAGTGCTAGAATTAGCATACTACATACGCAGGCTGTGGTATAGTAGCGTGTAGTAATAAGTTCGTTGTTTTTTCATTTTTCTTTCTCTCGCGTTCTTGTAATAATAAATCTCCTCGTAATGGCTTTCCGTCAAGACAATTTGACAATGGCGGGCAAAAAAACAGTGATGTACCTGACGCCGACAATGGTAAAATCTTTCGTTTAATCTTGGAAAAAGTGGATTCCTTAAAGAGAAGTCTTCGAGGACGATTTGTTTCATCGGACAATCTCTATCAAATTAATTGTATCAATATTGTGCGTATAAGGTAGAAAAAAATCTCTCTCACGTTGTTAAAGAAAAATGAATCGATATAGAAGTTGCAGTTGAAGGAGGTGAAGAGGTTTGTTTAAATCTCTTTTGCAACCGACACGCCGAGGCCATTGCGAAAAACTCGAATTGTGCGATACGTATATACGTATATCGTAGTACGTTTCTCTAAAACCAGCATCACATAACTTTTTGCTTTTCATCGCCGTCACATAAAAAATTGCGACTTTCATTTCAACATGCTCGAGAGAACGTATTGATCGCGATCGTACAAAAGCTGTATACCGCAAAATTGTTGAGCGGAAGGTGTGTACGGAAGTAGTCAAAAGTCGTCACTTTTACATTGTTAAGTTGTCATACTTTTACATTGTCAAGTCGCTGCGTGACGGCGATTTTGACCGAAAACGATAAGACACAAGTTGTAATGTTTATACTAGAGGTTTTAATTGACACGATTTAAGTATGGCTGAAGACCCTCGAGTTTTTCGTATTGGTCAATTTCTCTTCGTAACTCCGTAACTCACAAATTTCAGTTGATTTCGTGTACGTAATGTGTTTGCGGAAAAAAATCGAGATTACGAGCAGTCTGACTCGATAAACTCGTAATTTTGCGAGCCAAAGATGCTAAAAAGATTTACATATTTAGTTTGATTCTATTTTGCGTATTCAATTGCATCGGTACTTACTCTGGGATATCAGAGAAACTGAATGGACAGTTATATATACGAAAATAGATGCCGCGTGTTTGTTCAACACGCCCGCGGATCGCCACCGACGACTTCGATCGAATCGATTGTTTCGCGCGCAACGCGAAACACTGAATATATATATAAGCTCTCTCTGTCCGAAATTGAAATCGACTTCGATATACGGCAACGTGCGAAAGATAAATGGAGTTTCGTCGAGTTTCTAAACGCGCCATTAACAACAGCCGATCTCTCCGCCTAGACTATATTTGATACCACGACCATAGGTGTAAGTGGATTGAGTAAAAGTATCACAGCTGGCCACCCCCCTGGCTATAATATCAAAATTAAAAATAAACGAGGGATTTTGGAAAGGGGGGAGCCTTAGAAAAGAGTCATAACGGTCGTCCCGGCTCCTGTTCCCATTCCGGAACCGATTTCTTACACGTTACTCGTCTTGTATTTTATTCGTAAGTCATCTATGAAACGTAGAAAAAATTATACAAATAGTGACTATCTAAGGTATCTCGGGATTCCTCAGGAACGGAGCCGATCCGATCGGACTCTCCCTTTTTGCGCGTTATTTATATTTATGTATAACCATCGTTAATAATAATATTAATTATGTTCTCTATTTTTTATCATTAATATTATCATTATTAACTCGCACGCTAAAGTAATCGCTATGACGGTGCGTGAAACGTACGGAAAATTATATTTAATTTTCCCGTAGTCATGAAGTAAAAAATGTTTCTTTCCTATATAATGAAATTATATGACTTTGAGATATCTATAATCTATAAATTATGGAGTAACATATGCATATATATATATAGAAATATAAAAGATCAATATTGATGTGACGAATTTCTCGGTTAAAAATTCACTCGGAATTTGTATTTGCACCGACACAGCAAATTACATCTATCATATCCAGGAAAGCGTGTCGAGATCGCACGAGGCTTCGTCATATTTTTCTCTCGAGATTCTATACTTTATACATGAAAATTATAATCACAGTTTGAGTCCCCTCCCCCCCCGCAGACTTCCGGATCTTCGCGTTTGGTGGAAAATTAGCGCGCCCCTCCGCTGCACGTGACGATGAATTTAAACTTACAAATTCGCGAAACAGTTTACAAGTCTAAATCCCTCGCGCAACAAAGTCCATTCATTTATATTTTTAAGATAGCTAGAAATCAATACGCGAAATTTACGAGTTACGTAGAACTCGATAACGATGTAGAAAAAAACACTAGCTCGAAATTTTTCCTAATAATTATACATTGTCGTACATTGCGCACAAGATATATTTCTGTATTCAATAATGGCGAAGTAGACGAAAAAAAACATGGAACAAACGAACGAAAACGCGTATAGACATAAATAGTCAATCACCACATTACAATTCTATTTAATTTATTTAGAAGGAATTTAATGTATATTAAACAGATGCGTGTTTCTGAACATGCATTTTTTTAATGACGAATCATTGATAACATCGACAATCTTTTCTTTTTCAAATTATGTATTTTACCAACACAATAGGAGAAAGTTATACAAGATAGACTTTAATGGGATATAATATTGGCAACCCAAAGATACGTAGCTATTCAATACCTGAGATTTTCACACGACGTTTCGTTTTTGAAAAGAGTCTCTGATATGAAGAACCATACATGGAATTTTGATTCCGTGTACGCGAATATTGAAGCCTCGCACGAACGCGGTGCCGTAATGTTGAAATCTTTTTAAAATATTTTCTATCTTTGACTCTCTTCTTTCGTTTCTATCGCTCGAAGAATGCAGCTCCTCTCTCATATGACGTGTACCATATATAACATAGTGATAACTGAAATCCCGTATAATATCACTGCGTGTATCTGTGTGTGTGTGTGTGTGTGTGTATGCGCGCGCGCGCGCGCGCGCGTTCCATAAAGTTGCCACATGTTCAATGTATCGTAATAATTCAAAAGTAATTGTCGTATCATTCACCGCGTGAATCGTTATTGAAATATGATTCGTATGAATCATCATTATCTATAAATGGACGTTCATATCTATCGAACTAAGTAGATTTCAAACAACTGTTAGGAAAGTTATGTTACAGCGAGTCTTGCCTTACCGAGAAACCCTTTGGCTCACTCATGTAACTTCCGTTTGTAATTTTCTTAAATATCTTTGCCTGTTTATTAATGTCCCGCGGCAGGAAGAGCAGTGTCTTCGAGCAAACAAAACGTGAAATTTATGGACCGTCGTATTTATCGCGTAAAACGTTCCCTAGAAACTTATTTGTCGCCACTCCCGGCATCCGTCTCGCAAGAGCCATTAACTTCCACAACTTCCGGCGCATCTTCGTTTGTCGTGCCGTTCGCGTTATTCTCCGCGACGTCTGTCCTCTCTTCGGACCGTTCCTCCGTGCAGATCTCGAGAAGTTCCTCTTCGACCTCCTCTCCCCCCTCGGACTTGTCGACGATCGACGCGTCTCCCGCGATTCCCGCGGGATCTCGTATCGTCTCCTCGCTCGCCTCCTGACAGTCCTGACCGCCATGCAACGCCGTTATTACCCTCTGCTCGATCGTGAGCTGCCTCACGGCGTTTTCTAAGTTATCCCTAAGAATATTCGCGTCGTTCTCGCTCTCCTGCCACGTGAAAGGCATAAAGATCATTCGAACGAGTTGATAAAGTCGTCTAAAACCCAGCTTCTTGTACAGGCTTTGGCTAGCTTCATTTTCTGGACGTATAACTACAAATGGATAATACCCCTTCTCGGCTACGCGTTTTGTCAGGTACCTAAAAGTTCACATACATAAACTGTTATATTTCAATTTCAGTGTGTGCACATAACAATATCGCGATATAATAAAGAGTAAGGGCAGTTCTGGATCATAAGGATAAAAAATTCATATTGTCAGAAAGATGTGAAATTCAATAACGTATTTAATAGTAATTAATTATAATTAATTGTAATTAATTATAAATAATACTTTATGGATGATTTTAGTCAATTTTAGTATTTTTTATTATATATTTTTTAATTTTAATTGAAATAATGAATATTAACCACAATTAGACTCCTGGATCAGATTATCCGTGAAACATATTTACTCTTAATCTTAACCGAACATGATGTTGATTTTTTTTCCACGAAATTTTATGCTACTTACTATTATACCTCTTGCAAAATTCGTAAGGCAATCCTTATACATATTCAATTTTGAATATATTTTTAAAGATACACGGAAAGAATGATTTTGTTGGAAGGTCTAAAATTTTGCTAAATACAGATCTGAAAATAATTTGTTCAATCATCAAAATAATTTGTGGGAAAGTTACAAATTATAAACATTGCTATAAAACGTTTTGATATTCTAGCAATCATTGTGACTTTCCAACAAAATTATTTTGATTATTGAACAAATTATTTTCAGATCTGGATCCAGCAAAATTGTTCTTTTCGTGTATATCTAAATTAACGTGTTACTTCGATGATATCAATAAAACGTGCAACGTTATTATTTAAGTAAACAAGAAGCAATTGATGACTGATAAAGTTAACACAAATGCTTGCGATACGTGTATACGTCATTCGATGAAAAATATAATAATTATTTAGATGTAATAAATCCGGAACTGTAGTGTTCGATCCATATCTAGTATACCTTTACTCTATATTATGTGTATTTAGCGCGAATGAATCAAGAGTACATTTATACAAATATGACTCTCTGCGTTAACATTAGTTGCAAACACATAGACGTTACTTAAAGTTCGTGAACTCTTTCTCTACCTTGCTAACTTCGTCCCGAAACCCTTCCTACGATACTCCGGCTTGGTCTGCATGGAGAACATAGCTCCGTAATAGGATTGGACCATCCAAGCGGCCAATCTACCGTTCGCGAACACTCCCGCCGCGGGTAGAGTTCTGATAAGGCGAAGAAAAATCTCGGGGCATTCCATATCGTTTGCCGGATACAACTCGTGGATCCCCTCGGCGTGCTCGGCCTTGAGAGGCCGCACCTGGACGTCAGAGTTGGACTCCTCATTCGGCTCCTGGCTCACCTCCTCTTGCTCGAAGTAGTCGCACGCGCAGACATCGCCCACCACCGTCTCGATGGTGCCGGTACCCTCGTAAAGGCGTGTTAATTCCTCGGCGATGTCGGAGTGCACGAAATTAATGTACAAAGGTCTCGACCAGTCTATCAGAATGTCCTCCTCGCGGAGAAGGCGAAGCAGTTCCAGCCGATTGTTCGGGCAGAAGACACCGACGCTCTCGTACACCAAACCGTGCGGCTGAAAACATGACGGAAGATAAGATTAGCATCTCTCTGGTGAGGAACAGAGGATACAGAGAGGAAAGGCTATGCGAAAAACGATCTGGGAGATCGTAAAATCTTTACGATCTATTTACCAGTTACCGTCATAATTTAACACGCGGTTTTCTCTCTAGAATCTGCGATAGCTTTATAAATAATTTAGGTACTTTGACGCGCGTCAGTGATACGTGTTTCACATTTAAAGCTAAACGATGAAATTACAGTCCGCTTCGGTGTTTGTATTTCAGTCTGCACGTTTACGTACATGTAGAAAAACACTTGTGCGGGAATAGTCGTTTAAACGTTGCGAGCCTGCGGTACGAATGCGGATCAACGCTGGGCGGGTGCTAAATGTCAAAGGATACAGCGCGATTCTTGGCGCGCTTAAAATTCGCGCGAGAGAACCGCACCGTTTCTACACGCGAAACTAATAATCAACGGTCAATGAATTTATGATGCTGCGGAGATGGTAATTAACTAAAAAGCATAGACGAAATCATTTCTGGAAAGAATCGAGAAGCTGGCATTAAGCGAATCGCGAGTTCGCGACAGCAACGAGGGAGCGAAGAGGAAGAGCGAAAATTTGGCGGATAGCCAAGCCTATGGGATGTGGGCCAACACACTCGTGCATCCTGCAGTGCATTGAGAAATGGCGGAAGCACACAATAATGAGTTCTCAGTACTCGTGGCAAGGTCACTTTTTCAATATTTGACGTTTTTGCGATATTTCCCGAGTTAATGATTCGTCGTAGTGCTGCAAGAATCGGATTACGTTTCCTAATCAAAATAGTTTGTTTTAATCGATCTCCTACATATCCCGTAATGTAAAAAGATGCAATGTAGGCTGTAAGTAATCTAAATTACATGTACGAAATAAATCAAATTAATTTGAGACAGACAACTGTTTGCATTACGAAAATTTAATTAAGAAAATAAGTGGGAATGTTATTTCAAATAATAAAATATCATTAAAAATTGAAACTCTTGTTTAAAATTGCATTAGGTAGATGAATTTCCTTCTCCCTCTTAACCAAAGAAATTTAATTTATACTTACAGATAATGTCATTCCGGGAAAATGTAAGCAGATTGCGTCCTCCGGCCAATCGTTAGCCACGTAGAAATGGAATTCCCAGACTCTATCTCGCATGTAAGTCAATACGGTTTGTTGAAACTGTAAGAAATTTAATAATATCAATGAAACATCCTTCTTTTAATTGAATAATATAAATTACTGTTACGTGCAGTTGAAGTTATAAAAATAGGCTAAATTTATTTTTCATCAAATGGAACCGAGCGTGACATTTACATTGGAATAAACAGAAGAGTTTGTTTATATTTGTATGCGTCAGCCTAGCGCAAAGGCGCCGTCTGAAATGAAAGGGTAGATATTTTTGAAAAAGTTAAAACACACATACAGAAAGAGAGAGAGAGAGAGAGAGAGAGAGAGAGAGAGAGAGAGGGCGGATAGAAGAATCTAATTAAAGGCAATGCCCAGTTCGTTGAACCTTAAGATATCCATTCATTCAGGGTCACTTTTGATATTCTTTTATATATATAGTTCTCTTTCATTCCTAATATAAAATATGTATAAAAAAATCTTATTCCCTTATAAAAGGAATATTTTTTATTTTATCAGATATTACAGTTGTGTTCGTAAATATACGATTCGAATAGGACAGTACAATGACTCCATTTAAAACAAATGCTAAACGCTAACTGCGTATTTATGTCGCATTGAAGAGTTCCTTAATTGGAATATACCGGATGAAAATAACGAGCGAAACGAAGCGTGCATAAATCTCACCTAAGAATAGCGTAATAGAGCGCAAGTAGAGTCAGGCTAACAGAGATAAGAAGAATCGATAAAAGTAATTGCACTTTTGCACGACAGCTACTTTTGACTTTTCAAATTATCCAAGATGACGTCAAATCGGATAATTATATCGCTTTATTTTTGTACAGAATTATAAGAATTGTGTGCACGAAACACTCATGTACATGTAAACATCTTCCTCGAAATTTGTTGTACGAGTATTTAATAATTAAAGACAAGATATATTTGAAATATTTAGGAATTGGAAATGAAATGCTCAAAGAAAATATCGTAGAAATTATAAAATTTTGATTGTTAACCAATAGCACGAGATATGACGCAAGCCATCGATCACGTAACATATATACAGTGCGCGTATTCTAACAATCAGTAATGCTCATATTTAAATCATTTGGAGAACCATAAACAAAACCGCAATGGGTAGCAGTATGGTAAACGTGTCACAGAGATCGTTGTTTTATGCATTATTCCGTTATGGTGAAAAACATACACAACAAGTTGACTCGTGTTTCGAAGTTTAGCCAGTTTCCAAACCGATAATTAGTGAATTTTATCTCGCTGTATCATTAATTCATTCGATATTAGCGAGAGCATATACATATACTGCCGCGTTTTCTCTGTGTTACATTCTGGAGTATGTAAATGGTCCAATTTCTTTTTGTCGACGTTAATCAATATTCCTTCAGGATTTAGGATTTAGGACAATGCCTAGATTTCCATCTCATCGATATTTCATTTTTCTTGCCGCGCGCGATACCGACTCGGTTATATCTTTATTCGCATGCATTCCTTCAGAATTGTCAAAGTGGATGGAGCTTTCGGGTTATACATACATGAGTCCCTGCGCTTTAAGAGTCTCGTGTGCCATCGTCGAAATGTGCGGCGACGATTGCAATGCGCGCGTTCGATATGTATTGGATTTATAAGAGACCACGCGACGCTTTGAGAGCCCCGCGAGAGAGAGAGAGAGAGAGAGAGAGAGAGAGAGAGAGAGAGATATTCCGGAAGATTCAACGGCGGCGCCTTGCTGTACACCATTAGATTGAGCCCGGCACGAAAATGATTGTGCGCAGGCCCTGCAATTTATCCCGGAATAAACCGTAGACACTGATTCCTACAACGTATACATATGACGGAAAGGCATTCAGGGGTCAAGGTCGCGTATCCTGACGCACACACGTAATGCCGTTGCTTTTTCGTAACACTGCACGTTAGTGAAATCGATGCACTTTGCATGCGACATATCGTCAAAGTTCGCTTGATGATTGATCGTCGCAATAATACGGTGTCCGCGCGTTGATACTGATCACTGGCGTGTTTCCTTATTCAGATCCTCTCTCTCTCTCTCTCTCTCTCTCTCTCTCTCTCTCTCTCTCTGTCTCGTTTATCCCCCTCCTGGATATTGAAATCTTAATCGCTCTCGCCCACATATTTCTCGCTTGTTTTTTCTATAAATAATTTGCCAGGCCGCGATTGATTTCTGTTGACTGGTTCGGTCTAATTCGCTGCCTCCCCGCGCAAAACGGGAGCGCGGGAGGGAGAAACACACGGCGCGGCGGCGCGCGGCGCGGCGGTGGAAAAGCCACGAGACAGCCCCGTTCAATTGAACAATATCTCTTTGTGGTGCGGCCGTACTCTCACGATGATTGAAAAGCGTATACGCGACCTTTCACGTTTAAACAAGCGTGCTCCTCTATCCGTGGAGACGAAAATATCTAGGGTTTTAGCGTGACCATTTATATAATCGAATCAATAAATTGATAATACGAGCCCATCGTCTTCCTCGGAGAGGCACGTGATGTGTGCCGCGCGGCTTTTACCCAAATGTGATTTCAATTTTGATGATAATATTAGGGTCGCAGGTACGCCGTTGTGTGTTCACAATTATTAAACATATTGATAACGTCGGAGGAGTTTTCCTTCTTGAAGTAATATCGGACGAGGAGGCTCCCCGTCGTTCTAATAGGAAATTGCGGATGCCGTAGTAATCGCGCGAGCGAGGTCACGAGATCAGCACTGCGGTGACTCGCGCGAATAATACGACACGTCGACGACAACGAAACGTGTGCAGGCAGTGACCCTGGCCTTGATTCCAGCACACCTTACACGACGATTTTTCGATTAAGGTAGCGTGGTCGCGCGTCATAACGTTGATCCTCCCTAACAACCGGAGGTGAACAAAGCTTATCGAGGTTGGATATTTTCGTAGTCTGGCAGTTGCATCCGAAGGGAGAAATGAGACTTTAACATCGTGCAAAATTTGCGTAACTGCGACAATTTTATTGAAGTAAAACGCACAAGTATATTAACCATTGTCAAATATTTAGAATCAAGAGTTATGTGAGAAGAATAAGAATAGGAATAGGAAAGACAGTATTGAGCACGATGATTCTGGTAGGTAATTGATTTAGATTTTAAAGGCCAAAAATAAAAGGATGTGTGTGAATAAGTAAAAAATGTAAAACCAAGTTTCTTCTATGGCTTTAGAGTAGAAGTAATAAAGTTTCTTCTTCTATAAATCATTATCGTATTTAGCGCCGAGCCACGACCGTGTCTCCTGATAAACCATTATTTCCGAGATAATTAAATTTTTATTAAATCTGCACATTGATTTATATTAATAAGTAAATAATTATTTACTTATTTTTATTAGAGATTCGCTTTCACGATTTAATAGAATTGAGAGGTATATTGATATTTTACGTTGAAGCACTATAAAAATAAAAAAGTGGAGTAAAGCTGAAAAAAGCATATACAGTTATCCTTATCTATCTGTTAAATACATGCTCTTCATAGTTTTACATATCTCGTAGAACGTAGATAAAAGGTTAAACACATACACGCACGCACATATATTATTAATTAAGTTTCCTTGATACGTCATTAGATATAATTCTTATTGTTAAAATAAGAATCGGAGACTTGTTTAGTAAACTGGCTCTGTAAATGGCAGAATTTATTACATTATATATGCCGAATAGCTAAAAATTTAAAATATTGCCAACAATACAAAAAAATTTGACTAATTATATGTTTTCAAGTTAAGTAAACATTGTATGGTTTGATTAATAAAATTTTATAGATGTTTGGATATTCTCTTAATGTCACATAATTGGCACGTCATTTTTCCCAGCATGCACAGGTTATAATTGCAATATTGCAGCAACAATAATATTTTTGCAATATAGCTGGAATGTTACAATGTTGCTGCAACATTGCAGTTATAATTTGTGTTTGCACACACATGTGTGTAGCATGCACAATCTTTGACCGTCATAACGGACTTAGCTTATATGAGGGGATTACACCGGCTTGGGCATTGCTTCCTCCATGATAATAATCTTATCTATTAATGCGCGAGATTGATCCCTCGAGAGCGAACCTAGCCCGTAATCACGACAGCGTAACTTTTCGCGAACTCTTACGTCAAGTGAAACCACCAAAAATTGCAAGAGTCGGATGATAAATCCAATCCGGTTTGTCCACGTTTTACCCCCCCAAGGTAACGTATTCTCCTTATAGAGGTTTATGTTTTATCCTACATTGGTAGTTTACTAAATTTACCGCTCTCGCGGTGTATGTTGAGTTATATCGATTTCGAGACATTGTTGTTACATCGAGTAAAACGCGAGACGGCGGCGGCGGCGGCGGCAGCGGCAGCGCATGGGGGTTGCGGAAGCAGGAGCGTTTATTACAAAATAATGGGTTTGATATTAGTCTGGTTCGCGTATTGCGAATTCGCGTCGCTTTCTGCGGCTTTAATTGCATTATCGATCGGCAAAATGTAATCGTTACTTTAATTTATTATTTATTTGAAACGGAAACTGAGATTATAGAAAGGATCTAATTTGCTGAATGAAATAATTAATCATTATTGGAGACGTCCTTTTTTCCCTCCTCCCTTCTTTGATCTCGCAAAAGGAAATCCAATATCTGTTAATTTTTTGAAATAATTAACAAAAAATGTAAATAATGTGATGAAACAATTAATATTCAAAAGGAAACTCGAGATTAAAGATTTATTAAATACAAATCATATCAATTTCAAAACGATAATTTAGGAATTTTGTTAAATACTTTTCGTGAAAAACGCTGATGTGCAACGTATGTACTATCGATATAATTTCTGATAGAAATATTATTTATACACGGAAAATTTTTTTTTTTATTTCTTTGTAAAATTTACCCTGAAAATCATGTTAATCGACAACATAGTTAATGAGACATAGTATTTCGACAAAATTTATGTGATTTTCTTTGTTTTTTTACACTATAATAAATTTGTTGTAATACATATTTTTCAAAATAGTGAAAATCACATAAAATTTGTCGAAATGCTATGTTGTCCTACAATTAACATGATTTTCAGGGTAAATTTTAAAATAAAATTCTTTCCGTGTAGCTGTACATGTATATAAACGAAGTCTCTTATAATGAAAGAAATTTTATTGTACATTTTCAATATATATTTTTTTTATTAGGAATAACTTTCTTTTTGATTGAGACACACACACACACACACACACACACGCGCGCGCGCGCGCGCGCGCGCGCGTGCACTATATGTGTGTGTATATATTCCCCTATGTTCGTTTTCTTTGCTGGACATCGGAAACTTTTCCGTAATACACACTTTCTTCGCTTTCATCAACATCAAATTAGAAGCTGACGAGCTTTATAACTTCCGTATTGAACTGGTTGGTAATTTATAAGATAATCGTATCGAACATATGACAGCAGAAAAATATCGTATTTCTAAATCTAAATATAACATTCTCAATAAATAAAATAATAAACATATTCCTCAATAAGTTTTCCCTGTATTGTTATCGTAGAAACATAAATACATGCTTGTTTACAAAAAAGGAAATCAGAATCGAATCGCAAATAAAAAAGACTTTTACATTATTAACTATAGAAGTGAACAATAGCCTGCAGAATAATAGTGCGTACCTTCAAAGACTCAGGTAAGTATTCCGTAAGAAATTCTAGAAGCTTAGATACTTCCTTTTCAGGGAGCAGACGAAAATTCCGACCTCGTTCTACCGCTTCGGGACACTCCATGCTGAAACTAATTAACGAAAGATTACTGCATAAATGGCGTGTAAATTTTCGATTCTTCTCTACAAACGCCGCAGCCTCGAGAACGAAGCTCCGATTATCTCGGAGATTTATTTCGGAAACAAATAATTCGTGGCTTTATTTTGACGTAATCGATAATTTAATCTCGTGAGAGATTAATACGTAACTTTTCAAGGACGTTAAATCATTTTGTACGTGATACATTGGGAACTTGAAAAAAGTCGCGTGGCAGGTATTAGCAAAGGCACGCGACATGGCCTGCTTATCGCCACGCTGGTTTCAGTTTCCGCAGATTGATGCATATCGGCGAAATATTATGTATAATCATGAATTTGTGCCAACAGCTTGACGAGCTCAGCGGTTAATGCATGTTATTAGCGAAAGCTCTATATAACTTGAACTTTTCAAGGCTTGGTTCATTGTTTGCAACAGTTTACGCCGGAGTTTAGCCAGACTTTAATTTAAGCTAATCTTCATCGATATTAAATAGTCTAAACTATATATTAAATAGTTCAAACTATAAAGCTCTTCATAATTAATATAAGTGTTTTTAATTGCAGAACTTGTTGCAATTTATTGACGTTTTGAAGATTATCCTAGTAAAAACATTTTTTAGAATTCTTTATATAATTTTCTACAATTTTTATTTAAATTTTAGAATTTTTCTGAAATTCCGCTTAACTTTATAACTTTTCAGAAAATTTTTCAAATCTTTTATATGAACTGGAACTTTTATAAGCTAAGAAAGTTTACTTTTTCTAGAATTCTTTATATATTTGAATTTGAAAATATTTTACTATTTTAAACTTATAAAATTTGAAAAAATAACGTTTTTAAAAAAAATTTTCATAAATTTAAAATATGACAAATTTTTATAAATATAATAAAATTTATGAGTTTTTTTTACTAGGATAGTAAGAGTCATCTATCGACACGAAGTGACAATATAGATAGATATATACATCAAATTAGAAATCAATTCTGTCAAAAATATATAATCAATATATTCTATCAAATATATATAATCAATTCAAAATAATCATGAGATAGTTAATTAAAAAGATCAGTTTTTTTTTATGCAATGGCAGACTACGGCTCTATTGCAATTTATGTATTTATTATACAATGTTATACGTATTGACATTCTCACATAACGGAATCGCGGAAGGCAATTTACGCAGATACGCAAGAAATGCCGGTGTTTGTGCAATATGGGTCAGCATAACCTTCAACAAAATTTCCTTGGACAGTAAGGCTTCTTGTGTTTTAACGACGCACAAACTTAGATTCGTAAGATTACGGCGCAACTGATTCACGAGTACAGCACGCTTGCGTTACGCAAGCTCACGTCGGATGTCGAATTGTATATATAGCAAGTGTAAAAAGGAAGCGAGATATCTTTACATCGCTTTAAGACGAAGAATAAAATAAAAAGTTTAACGCGAATAACTCATAACGCAAAATAAAATTCATTTTATATAATTGCATTGCAAAAACCGTAGCTCTCGAGATGTGAGTGAATACGCGCGGATAAATATCCCAATCGATGATTGCTTACGTAGTTTCGTAAAATTTACTGTCTTCTATCCGCGAGGGAATTCAAATAATTCACACGGTGCGCATCAAGTAAACAAACCTGCGCTCAATTATTAGCAGCATAATAAATTGGTTATACACGAGCATAATTATTTACAGACAATGAGATAAGTATCGTGGTGATTTTTTTCAATTATTTTATTATCTTATTATCTTTATATTTTTACCGTTAATCGATACGTTTTCATCGTATATATATATATATATATATACTGTTAATATAAAATTGCGCCAAATTGTGTGTACACTTGAACGTACAAAATTACCGCTTCGAATTACTTACGTTGTATCCGCACATTTTATCGTTGAGTTATCAAAAGCAGCAAGAGAGTTCATTCGCGCCACAGAGAAAGTGTATACTGGGCAATCTTGATAATAATCGCCGACAGCCAAACTGTATTAAGTATCAGCGAGAAAGCATCCTCGTAATCGACGATCGGGGTCGGTAACACGCACCGGTAACGCGGGGAATTGCCGATACTTTGAAGAATTCGCAGATCACACGAGAGATGAAGCGAGTGCCCGGTGTGATACGTCACGAGACCGCAAGCGATATGCCGTGCCGCCGGTCCAATAGCCGGTTGTGCGTGTTGTGCAATTCTCAAGTCTTCCCCCTTAACCCCGGGCTTAAGAAGGATCCGATTCCAGATGTACATCGCAGGACATCCCTCGTCCTACGTTTGCGTCGCGTCGCCATCGACGTCTTTGGACCGATCTTTGCCGGTCATGCGTCTCGCATATAAATTGGCGTGCGTATATACGCGCGTTTATAATCGATTTACCTGAACGAGCGGCAGCCTGTCGTTCACGTCCGAGCACGCCGCGTAGATCCGTCTCTCCTCCCCGCGAGGAGGACGACGGCGACGTCTCGTACTCGGGGATCGTTGGATTGATTCGCACCACTGTCCGATTGATCGCGCGCGCGATTTTCGGGATAGGAACGCTCCGCCGCGCGGCGTTGCGAAGCGGAGCCTCGCCGCTGTCGAGGATGAGAATGGTCTGGCGGGGCTGTTGTCAAGGGGTAGTTCCGAACGGAGGAGGCACCCACCCTCGCCGCCCCCTGAACCCGCACTGCCGCCCCTGGGCCACCGTCACCCTCGGTGCACCGAGCGCCGTCGGGGCGACGGGCGCGCAGGCGTCGCTGTCGCAACGCCGCGCGCCGCGCCGGCAGTGCCGCGATTCAAACCAACAGCGCCCTTGGAAGGCCGCTGCGCTTGCAGGGCCGTGATGACGTAGTCCGCGGATCCGCGACAGCTGTGAGTCAACTTTCTCTCTTTTTCTCTCACTCTCTCTTTCTCTCTCTTCCTCTCTCATTTCTACCGACAAGCAAACGTCGTGTCGTGACGAGCGAAACATTTTGCATGTTGCACAGGCGATTGTTGCCGCGCGTAAGGTGGGCCAAAGGCAGTTCGTAATTATAGGTACGAAGGTGGCACGAGAGATCGTTAAAAGCGGCACGCACACACGAATGCCAAGTTCACGTTCTCGTCTACGGACGAGAATTTACGGGCCTAACGCTCCCCGCGATTGTCACCCCGATTGTCAGTGTAAAACACGCGCGCCAGTTGTTGGACGGTAAATCGTGAGACACGTAATTGCGATATAGGTATAATATGAGAGTTCTCGCGATTATTGCTGAATGAAAACCGTAACAGAAATTGTGCACGCGTGCGTCAATGTTTGCGATGACGATTATATGACGAAAGCGTGATTTTCAGAGCCTCGATGCGGCAAACTCGATTTCTTTTCGTTGCGCAGAATTATACAGAGTTACCGCATTGCCTCTCTATCCTCGAGAAAATTGCAGCAGAAGGTAGGATTGCAGATCCAGCTGTCGCATAGGTATGAATTTATGAAAAATTACAATTGACATATGGTTTTGCATTATTTTTAAAACAGTTGATATTGTTTATAAAAAAGAAAAATTTTATCTGTAAATAGAGATACGCGAGAGCAATATATCTTCAAAGTGGTACGAACTAATTTAATAATCAGCGAAGCTATGTGCACATTAAGAATTGTAAATGAATGTTAAAATAAATTTGTATAAATAATATAAACATTGTATTAAATTTCGAGGCGCCACATTTCTGGAAAAATCACATGATATAAAAAATATTTCAATGTCAAAGCATATTTTCATTTAAATGTCGAAGATGCAACTAATTACCCATTTACTGTTTAGACTACATTGTTTACTAATTATTTTTTGCTAAATGGAAGAAAAATTAAAGTATGACGAGAAAAGCTTGTGTGAAATTTAGTCATGTATGTTACGAGAGGCAATATAAAAATGCAAATTGCATTTGTATTTCTTTAATAAAATAAAAATTGTTTATACGTGAAACATGTGAAACACGTGTTTGATTAATAATTCATCGCGTGAATATTTATATGAAAAGAAATATAAGCTCAGCGATTAACGGAACATTTCGCGTATCTTTGTTATAAACCCACTAAGGCAATTCTGAACTGGAATCAAACTCTAAAAATGTCGCTGTTTTACCGACGATTTATGAGTATGCGTGCGATATTGATGGATAGTATGTAGTGATGGGTTCAATGTTTACTACCATGTCGATATCGCACGTACATCGTAACAAATTTTCATTGACATATATCTTTTTTATTAGGCATCCAAGTCTAATTTTATGAACTCTACATTGTTTGCACATGTAATTCATAGTTCCGGCTGGTATAATCATTTTGTATCAACAAACTGCCAAATTTTTGTACGAAGCAAATATTGGCACATGTTGACAGCTCTAGACGCCATGTTGGACTAACGAAAAAGGTGAAGGAACTAAATTTCTAAAATTTTTTTTGTTCTCAACATAACCTCTACCAGCCGGAATTACATTGATGCCTATACTTTAATCGTGGAAAAAGATTTTTAAATCTGTTGTCTTTAATTATGTTTATTTTGTCATGAAAAATAATCACGTTCGGTCGATAAAACAGACGACTTCAGAATTGCCTTAACAGCTCTAATTATATTATGGACTAGAAAAGCATTCATTTCTACGGAGTAAAATCTATTTCAATATATTTTAAACTGAGTTTTTTACATTTATACATTTTATACATATTGAATACAACGAACTCGATATTAAAAAATTATTTAACAGAATAATATAAGAAACAGAAACTATCCTGTTAATCAGTAATTTTTCTTCCTTTTTCTCAGTATATAACTTCACTGACAATCAGCTCAAAAATTTGATATCGAATTAATTTCCGAAAGATAGCGGTAATATTATATTATATATTAGAGACGGTAAAGGGAATATCGTGATAGCATTCCTACCAGATAGCATTCCTACGAGCTAAGACTTCCTACATGACTCTGGTAAATATAAAAATATTAGGATTATTTTTCAGAAATAGCTTTGTTAATTTATTCAAATTTTTTAGCTGATGTTTATGCAGTCATTAACTCGGGAAGAAAAAGAAAGATTACTAATTAACAGGTTAGTTCAATTTCTTATTTTACTCTGTGTGGAATTAGGTAATTTTTTAGTATTGTGTTTGTTGTATTTAATGTTCTTAATGAGATCAATAATTGTTTTTTTTTATCAGCGAGTTATAAGTTATCCCCCAATTACAACAAACATTGAATCCCTGCAAGTAATATAAAAAGATGAAAAGTTAAAAAAAAATTAGTATCTCTTATAGTATTTAAGGGACGAAAGTGTATTCATAAAAATCAGAAAAATCCAAAGAAACACTTACCGTTTTAGACAAAAAGATGTTTAGTGGAAGAGTACGTGATTGCTGTTCATTGTTAGATAAAATTTCATGATTAAGATCGTTATAGAAAAATCTATTATTCGTTCAAAAATATTGTATTTTTTAGACTAATGCTTACATCTCGATCGTTAACCTTTTAAAGTTGAAAGGTGACCTACGAGATTGTCAACGCGTTATTTAAAAATTTGACGTTTGGAAATATAAACCGTAATTGTGACACTAATTTCTTTGTACAATTACTTTATCTGATTTTATATTGTGATCACATTTCATAATTTGTTGAACATCAAAATGTAATTTTTGTGAACTACGTGATCCTTTTTTCTTTTCTTTCTTTTTCGTTTGTTTCAAATCTAATTAGTTCTAAGAATTTATTGAATAAAAAGAGCACGTGAAATACAAATCTCATTCACTCTTTGTATTTCGGAGCTAGTTCCCCGAATATGTGATATGAATAAAATCTAATCATCGTCATTCCAACTCTATTGAAGATGGAAACGTATAAATAATATTTTTAATTAATTTCTTAAAACGTTGTGCAATAATTATCGCGTTTGTAATTGTTTCTCAAGAATGATACTTTAAAATATAATTTTATGATTGAATACCTTTATGGTACATGATTGAATGCGTCTTAAAAAAAATTTTTAATGCGTCGTAAAAAGATTAAAAAATTTGAAAAAAATGTTAAGTAACGGGGATATAAAAAAATAAAAAAATATTTAAAATTATAATTATTAGATACTATTAAACTATTTAACATTTATTTTAAACATTTATTTCTATCTCTTATAATTTCAACGATATTTGCTTAAAAAAAAATTTTTTTTCTAAGGAGTATTTCCTTAAAAATGCGTGTGAATATGTATACAAATGGTGTCCCTTATTTTTGTTTAGAAAATAATATTCAAAATTTATCAAATCGGAAAGGGATATACTTTTATGACCTTTATTGTTAGTTATTTCGGAATAATATTATATAATTATATTATATTATGATCATGCCTATGACATTGTTATTAACAATCTATAAACTGTTAACTTGTATACGATATTTGACGTTCCGTTGGATAATTTCGGATAGTTAAGATCACTGGTTTATACATTTTTACATTTTAAATGTGACCACAAATTTACTTATTATTTTTATTTTTTGACTACACGGGTTTTATTAAAGTTATACACCTATTTATTCATTTTTAATTGACCACGATAATTAATTTATTTATCAACTCTAATTGATGACGGACACCATACGGAATTCTGAGTATCACAATCAAATGCGATTACAGCTGGTGGTTAATTATAATTACTTTCGTAAAATTAAAATGAGTACACATTCTAATCGATATCGTTAGACGCACACGTTCCACCCAGTCATCCAACGGGTTTTGGATAACTATCTAATAACTGCGTATCTTTCGAGTTTTAATTGCTTCTGTAATCGATTTGTTAACTAATATTGTAATCTCGTTGAAGATAACTTTGAGTTTAAGCTGAAATGTACGTAGAGCACTTTTTAAACTTACCTTGTAAGAAAGAAAAGAGAATAGTTTTATTGCGCAATGTTTATTGCGCCAACTCCCACATAACCTTTTTTCCTTCTTAATATATTAATATTACAGAACTTTCTGGCAGAGTAATATTATATAAATATTCTTCTTCAGTTTGTACGCATCCATTCCTGAACATAGACCTCTTCCATTTTTCTTCACTCATGTCTGTTTTGGATTACTAACATCTAATTTTTTCCCGTCCTTCGCTAAAAGTTATCTCGCCGGGGGGGGGGGGGCCCCAATGCTTTTTTTTATTTCTCGTGGTCTCCATTGCATAACAGTCCACTTGATTATCTCTGGCTATACACATATGTCCTACCCAGCGCCATTTGCTTCTCGCTGTTCTCTCCATAACATCGGTGACTCTAATTCTTTTCCTGATTTCTTTGTTTCTCATTTCCTTTTTCAAACTAACTCCCAGTATTGCACGCTCCATCTTTCGCTGGCAAACCCTTAGGTGACACTGTCTTTTGTGTTAGGCACGCTGTCTTTTGTTACTATTTCTAGTCCGTATATCATGACTGGCATTATACATGCCTCGTAGTCCTTCCGCTTGAAGTCAATCGGAATTTTCGGCTCCCTAAGGATATGCCTGATTTGATTGTTCCTGCTTCGAAGCACCTTGGAAGGTGCTCCGTTAAATTTTGGACGAAATTTCTCAATCTGAAGTTAAAAAAATGCATCAACATAAGATCAAAATTGCGCGAGGTGATATGGTGAAAAGATGATAATTCGGTATGCTTAA